AAATTCGAACGATTTCCATGACCTACGAGCTCACGGATTTCAAACAGTATTAGTAGGAAAAATTGTCGTGGGGGTCAACTGGGTGTTTACGTGACCTTGTAGTTAGGGGCGGAGAGGGTAGAACCAAAGATAAACCTGGCAGAGCAGTTCGTGTGTCCCCGTGGCCTAGTTGGTGGAATGCACGTTGTGCAAAATATGGATGAGATCTACACGTGGGTTTGAATCCCTCCGAAGTTCTTCCGGATCTCTTCTAAACGGGACCATTTTAAAAGAACATTTATTTTGAAAAAGTCCAACCAAAGTTGGAAAGTTATATCTGAGCATCTAAACTGAAGTTTTGGTAGCCAGCGGCCATCCTACATAACCGATTGATTTCCGGCCGATAGGGACATCAGAGTGGCAAATTTGTAGAATCGTCCCAGTTGTGTTGTTATTTGTGTAGAGGTTTTTCGCCTAGACCATTACAGCCTACCTGAAAACTTGGCTTTCGGCGTATCCTAATAGTACATAGTGCATAAGTAATTCTCCTCAGATTGATTCTTGGCAAAACGGAACGGAAGTGAGAAAAACGTTGGAGGAACGATATTAATTAATCTGGGTACCAACCTGCCAGTTCGATCCATTCCTTGTAACCTAGATAGTCCTGTTGCTCCCGTTTCTCTTGCCTTTCTTTGCGAAACAGGAGAGTGCGATCAATCTTTTCTTTTTCTTTGCTAAATTCACTGTAAGTAGCATGAAAAAAAGTTAAATTTATTTAAGGGAAGAAAAAACAACAGCAGCAGCAATAAACTCGCCTGTTTGTGGAATTCGCAACGTTACAAAAGTAATACTGAACAACGAACCATGTGACAAGAACGAATCATTGGGTTATCTCTGGTCTAAGAAAAAAACTTTCAACACCCGCAGTTTGCTACATAAATAAATACAATGGGTGATTTACAAACAAAACTCAGGTACAAATTAACCAGTTTAATATTTATCAAGTTTTACCCTTGACTACCAGACATATGTCCCATACAACCAATTAATACGAGTCGGAACTTATGAATCCATTGCATTCTTCCTTTTTTACTACTAATGTGTAGGTATCCCCTTGATCGATTGATCATGCCATCCTTCCTAAAGAACTGTTTTTGTAAAATTAAAGTTAAAATAAATAAAATAAAATAAGTAAAATAAAGTTATGTAAAATGTTAAAAAAGCCTTTAGCTGTATCAGCATGAAGCCACATACCCTACCCGAGCATTCTTCCACTATTGATGTTGATACAAATACTACATGATTGCCAGCGATCAATGAACCCCTGTGGTAGTTTTGTAAACTTCTTCCATAAAAACAGTCCAATAATTTTTCAAGCAGTGCTCAAACGGTGGTGGAATCTTCTTGAAAATATCTTGAGCATGCTTGATTTACATTTCTTCGAACCCGCACGAAATTGTGAAAAACATTTTTCGTTACGTGTTCCTTTTGAAAATCCCAAATCGTCGGTGATACTGGATTTAACAGGGCGAAATATGCAGGACGGCAGTGCACTCTTACACACAATTATGGCTGTTCCACCCAGCCGGCATGTCAAAGTTGAAATTGCTAATCTTACTGAACAGATAACACGCTTGCACCCATCCACTTATGTGAGAGGCGTAATTTTGACAGGCACCGGAGGAACGCAGTTGCTGAAGGGCAGTTGCCAGCGCACACAAATCACGTCCTATTTGAATTCAGTTCACCAGTCCCTGCAGCCCATGCGTGTATGTGTCTGGGATACAAACAATGCCCGACAATGAAACAATTTGAAGCCCATGAGAAGATCGATAAGTTAAAATAAACAAAAAGAGCTGAGAGAGTATGACAAGATGTAACTTAACTTTCATTTCCCTAATTATTAGGGCGAAACTCCCAGGTTAGTTAAAACTATATGAGAGGGAAAGCGAAAAAGCTTAAGATATGTCACAGGACCTTTTTTTAATGCGACAACTTTTATACTACTGAAAGCTCCCACGATTTCGAGACAACATTTTTCCGGGTACACTTGACAGCAGAGAACAGGCTCACTACTTGGATCCAAACCACGCGAATTGTTAGATACTCAGTGCTTCTGGTTACCAGTGCCGCGTGCAATTTGTTGTAAGGTCGATACATGAGAGCACCTGGTTAAACAACAGGCCCATTGTAATCCCATTCAGTGATGAACACACATTTCTACTCCACAATCTGTCGCAATTGAGGAAGAAACCTGTGGTGATCCTTGCGTACAGGATGACGCAAACCCTGCGTCTCGGTTACGCGGGATACTGTCGAGCTAGTACCAGTGTGATTCAGTGCTTACGTGGCGTCCGTGATTCTCAATACGAGATTCGTAATTCGTGATCGGTGCACACTTCAATCACCACAAAAAAACAGAATGAAATACGCGTGGCAAATAGAATCTCGAGGGTATGATGGAGCATATGAATAAAAAAATAAGTGCTATGTAAATGCTCCATTGATTGTGAAAGGAGAAACTGAGAATGCATTCAAAGATTTGGGATCGGAAAGCTTATTGCTTCGGATCTGATCATAAGAGCACATGGTTGACTCAGTGCCGTTCTCGTTATGGACAATATGAGTGACTCAAACCTTGCCACATTAGAACGGCGCATATAAGTCAAAACCGTGCTTTTAAAGACCTGAACTATTCATGCGACCTCAAGCGCGACAACCTGCATTCTTCAGTTGAGAAAAAGAAGAGAAATGAATTCGAAGTAAAATGATACTTATCAGTGCGTGAATGTTTAAACTTCGGAATTCTGTGGGTCAAGAAATAAGCCCCTGCATTACGACAGGCTCTCTCACACATTGTGATTGTGGCATATCCTATTTCCCATTTATCGTCGTGCATCCAATGCCGACAGGCTGAAGATGCTGACCATAGCCACTCCATATACTTATATATTCTTGTTCTGTTCCATACAAGTTCCGAGATAAACCATCTGTGTATTGTCGTTATTCCGCGGGGCGAGTCCCGGAAAAAATACACATAATACGCCTCCCTGACGAGTCCCTATAAGGACGAAACAGTTTTCCAATGAGCACACAAGTTTTTTATAAAACGTCATCACTGAATCAAGTTCTAAACTCACTCAGATTTCTTTTGCAGTAGGCCAGGATAATGTTCTCTTGGTACAAAAGCATATCTAATTCTATCAAGAACACGACGAATATTTAACAGATATTACTTATATCGGAAACATTATAAAGAGCAAGCCAATTAGATGTAGGGCAAAGATATTGAAACCCCATAATGTAGCAAATTAGGCGAAATACATGAGCTAGATGTATTGGAGGAGAGCACCTCTGTGACCCACACATTTTCCTTCGATAAAGTAAAGGTGGATGCAAAAGAGACGAAAGTACAACTCACCCGCTCAAAACACCAAGCACAAGATTCATGACAAAGAATGAACCGAGCAAAATGAGTGTCACAAAGTAGATCCAAGGCCACCACGATCCGATAGCGTCTGACACCTGTGATGCGAAATGTACGTAACGTTAAACAGATATCAAGCACCATTCTTAATGATCATAGTAAATGCCTGCAACAAGATATATATATATATATATAAAGTATCATGAATATTTGAATATGTCTAAATTTATATTCGTTACCTTGTTCGCATCTAATACTAGCCGGTTATTTGCACATATTATTTAACCATTTTGACAATACACTAGGTTGAGATGTAATTGATTTGCTTGCATTAGTCTACCGCACGAATAAATAATCATCTATGAAACTCTTTAAAGTCATATTTCCTCCAGAGTTGTATCGCTATACAACTGTTGTTGGGTTATACGGGGTGAAAATTCTTGCTGCGCATTTTTTGTCTTACTTCCATTCGATACTGTTTGGTCACGTGCCGACGTGTCCCATCGATCCCATTTCGGCTTTCTCTGGGCGAGTCTCACCACATTGTGCTTGGGGCATGCTACCTGTCTGTTTCAAAGTTTGTCCCACCTTAAAATATCACGTTGGTCATTTTCAATACACAATGGTTTATTTTGTTTGTAGTTATATAAAAAAACTGTGTTTGCGCAAACTAATCAAGTCAACCATTTTCTTAGTATTCGACTTTTATAACAGGGATCATTTAAAAACATCATTTTACTGCTGACTCGCTTTTTCATTATCAGTCAATCAGTAGCCTTTGAATCAGAAACCATTGATAATAAAAGCGGTTGTGAACCTTGAATAATTACACGTTGGTATCTGAACAGATACATAAATTCTATTAAAAGTATACCGCTGGTTTCATGGAATTTGTCGCTGTATAAATAAACCTTTATACTACTCCTGGGTCATGGCGAAGAATTACTGTGAAGATTGAAATAGAGCACAGGAGACCTGTCTAGTCCGTGTCGGGTCTAATCAGTTTTGCGTGCTGTCTTTCTGGTCCTGTCTGAAATCGAACAGCGAACCTTGGGGTCGGGAGACAAAACCAACAACCCCTTCACTGTACGGTTAACTACCAACACCATGCGAATTCAACCTATTATTATTTAATTCTCTATCAATTCAATAAAATTGTAAACACTGCTGATTGGTTTCATTATGAATTAAGTAGCTGCCCAGTACTCCTTGGTGACCTTCGCGCCAAACATTTGACAACAAACAGGTAGCAAAATCGCGCACAATAAATGAACTCTAAAATGTGAGACCCACATGAGAAAACAGCATTAAATTGATTATGGTGTCTATCAGAGTAAACAAAAACACTGTTAAGTATTTGACACTCCTTTGTCACGTCATTTTTACAGATGTAGTCCTATTAATTATTCCGTGTATTTTATCTTATGATTCTAGGATCAATTCACTCCAGCAAAAGGAACATTAGCGTGAAAAGGAATTCAAAAATCGGCTTTACTGTCTAAAATACTAAGAAAAATTGTATACTACTAAGCACGAACTAAACCCAAATCAATCTAAAAGTATATTCTACCTATGCAAATTCTAGGAAAAGCTAAAAGATGAAAAATGGATCCGTATTGATTGGGGTACTCAAGTGGTTAAAATGCAAGTTCTCGCTCTTGCAACTAGTTATGTTTACAACTGATGGATTTATCATGATGCCATAACAAATTTCATCATTGTTATCTACCAAACAGTTTGAAATTTTGGACGGACACGTTCCGGTTTTCCATGTTCAACAAACGAGAAGAGCCAATTATTGCATATTTATCGTATTTTAGAGTTATTAAAAATATGTGTCACAACCCCACCGACATTCCAGACTAGACCAATGTTGATTATCATCTTAAATGAGTGACATTTCCAACGCGTGCTTGTTTAGATGTCACATCCTTAACGATAAATCTTATTTAGACAGGACAACGATTTCATTCGCCGCACAACTATCTATTCGTTACCATGATGCATATTTTTCGGGATGCGTTTAACAGTTAGTTGTAACAAAGCAGACGCTGTGCACCGTGATAGCTAACTGGACCGTTTTTGATGGCGTTCAGGATGTCATAAACACCTTCTTCAACAGTAAACACACGGGGATGTGAAATCGATCGACATGAGCGTACACAAAAGTGATCACGAATCCCTGAAGCAGCACTATTTTCTCACTAGACCAGATGGATTGGCTACTGATTCGTCATTCGGGCGAAATGGCTGTGAACCTCCTTCACAATAAAGCGCCGTACATGAGTATCGCGAATATAAACCATAACTACTCCCCAACTCTGACTGGCGTCAAAATGCTGGGTGGAGCGGGATCCACAACGTACGCGTTGTGGCGGCCGCACACACCTCATCACGTGCGCTAAAGCAATCGCGTTCAATCTTGTGTGTTAGAATGGAATCGGAGGAAACACACGGAAGTTAGAAAATCTTTCACACTGACTGAACGACTGTGTATCGAATGGGCATTCGGATAAACCATAGATTTTTTACATTATTTAGTATGAGTTTAGGAGGCAAACGGCGAAATAGGTCATGCGAGATAAATGGGAATGATTTTCCAGCTAGTTTTCTTCATGAAAGGAGTGTGACGAATTGTTTTATAGCATGTTTTCTTGCAATTTAAAATTTATAATGGTTATTCAATCACAGACTACTTGATTCCTAGAGAATAATATCGAGTTATACAAATTCTTTTGTCGTTGCAGCTTCTGAAAAGAAGTTAAGTTCTTTGATTTGGTGTCACTTTTCACAAAGAAATCAGTGAGACAAAGCTCACTCATTTCTTTAAATCTTGAACAGTGCTGTCAGCAGAGTTTTGTTGGCAGAGCCACTAAGTTTGACTCTTCTACGAATCTTATGACACTAGCACGGAGTACAGTTTGAGCTGTCCGTGCACCTTTTGTAACTCCCAAGAACTTAATGCTAATGGTTTAAAAGCTCTTTTTAATCTTGAATTCTATCAAAGTTGAATCTTCATTTTTTCAGCTTCGAGAAAAATCCGGATTATCCGTGATGGCTACACCCAACTACAACTATATTCCTCTCTACTGACATGAAAATATTACCCCGTAGATATGATGCCTTCTTTCAAAATTTGATTGAACGGTAGATGTCTTTATTGAGTAGCGCCTGGTCACCGCAAACAAACGGAAAATGGGTGAGAAAGTAATTGGCAATTCAAATCGCTTAGGACACGCGATAATTCACTACCACGGTGCACTCACATAATATCCCGTACTAGTCCATCCTTCCATGGTGATGCAGACAAACACAGTTAGCATGGAATACAGGAAGTTGTCAAAACTGATAATTCCACCCTGTGGTCCGGTGTACCGTTCCGCATCTTTTCCCCACATGTCCTCGCAATAGTACTCCGGTCCCAACTCGCTGCATTTGAATCCCATGGCTGAAGTGTTCTTTGTACATGGCCGTGGGTTGGGCATCATTTCAGCTATGATTTGGCCAATGGGGGAGTGATAAAGGAACGTGTATAGAATATTTAGACTGGTCGACATGGGCATGGTAGAATAAAGTAGCGTGTATTTCATGTTTCCCTTATTTTCAGAGGGGGCTTAACATCCATTATTGACGCCTGTATATCATTCCAACGTGAATGAAACGGATGCAACCAGTTTTGGGAATTTCATGCATAAGTTCCAAAACTGATGTCAATCAATCATTTCACGGAGAATATGAGATAGAGTTATATGACATCAGTTTTTATCTACCCTACAGCTAATTTCGTAAATAATCAATCACGTTAGAGTACCCACTCATTGGCTGAATAAAGCTTATTTTGGTTTGACTAGTTTGATTATTATGTCGTCAAATATCGACAAGAAACAAGGGAACAATAACAAAGGAGTTTTAGATGAATTATCTAGTATAATTTTCATTATTCTGTTCCGAAAAACGATATTTGTACACATTTTCACTGAAGTACAAATACAANGTATGTAGCCATGCACTTCGTGAACACTATACTCATCTGTCAGAATAAATTGGTATGTCCTTTGGCTCATGTTGGACTACTATCATTTGCCGTGATCTATTCAGTGAGGAATGTGAACTTATCACCTTTTTCCTCAGGTTGTTCTTTCGGTATGTAGCCATGCACTTCGTGAACACTATACGGTATGCCAACTGAGGAAGTAAGGGAACAAGTGGACAATTTTTTATTGGAGCAGCTTTAGCTTACCCGGTGGATGCATCACAGCTCGCATACAGAAGGCTGGGTTGGCATTTTCAAACTTGAGACATCTGTGGCGCCGTCGCGATATCCGACTGTCCTTGAAGGGTCGAGTGTATGCTGCGGCAGTTAGGATAGTCTTACTGTACAACGCACAAACTTGGCCATTAAGAAAACAGGATAAAGATAGACCGTCCGTGTTTGAACACCGCTATCTACGCAGTATTGTGCGAAACTAGCAGAGAAGCGTTTTTAGGTAATAGCGTTCGTCCACTGGAGCAAGTGGTCGACCACCATAGATGATGTCGATTAGGGCATGTGGTACGCGTGTCACCAAACAGGTCGTCACGACGTGCGATATTCGCCGTGACAGGTAGTGAGTGGAAAAAGACCAAGGATGGTCAAACTACCACTTGGTATAAGGGTATGAAAACCCTAACCAGGGGCCTCGGTCATACAGGTCGCGTAAGACTCCCTGGATGTGGACTCCGGGATCATTGTAATGAATGGCTAGAGACACTGAGGGATTTACCTGTGTCGCTAACAGTGACGCTCATGCATCTTCTCAGTGTCCTAGCAACCATAGCCCACCGAAATTCTCTATTTTTTCTTCGACTCTCCTTTCAACTTTCCTGTTTTTCTACTACTGCTTCATCCAAATGGGCATCCAAAAGACAGAAAACAAGAACGGCACAAGAAAGTGCATGGTTGTGCAAACTGAAATCGATACGGTATGATGATCAATCAAAAGCCTACAAAACTCTATACCATATACTTTTATTTGGCTGTCATTATCACATGGAAGATGGTGCTAAAAGGTGCCGTTTTTCATCTCCTCTCTGATTACATTATATATACCTAAGCACGCAATGAGGACTATAAGCGTTTCCCTTATTTCATACTAATCGAGCATTCGATGTATCCGATCGAAAAACAATATTATTACAAACTAATTATTCACTGTTGAATCAGTGATGTTGATTTATTGTTCCTATTGTTATTTACTGGTAGTTATCCTACACTACACTTGTGAAGTGGCCACTTCACAAGCACTGATGATGTCACCTCGGCTGGTGATGAAACGTTTGCAAACAAACTGCCAAGCTCGGCGAACAGGCGAAATGGAACATTTGTAAACTGCTTACTCAGCCTCAGAAGTAAACCAAAGTGTACACAAGACATCGTTCTGCTAAACAACATAATTAGAACAACTAGGGTTGCAACAGAAGTTCATCCGGGGGATTCCGGTGGACTTGCCGTGGTAATCAGCCTAAACACTAACTGGTTTATTCCATATTCCTCCCTAAGTTGAGGACAGGTATTTCTGAGTCCCAGAATTCATGATGAAAATCGAAATACAGTCTGACCGTAAAGTAATTTTATTGACCCCAAACTTTTGTTGTTTACACACAATGGTAAAGTCGCTAAGGTCAGCCGGACAGTGGCCCGGAGGTCGTGAGTTCAAATTCCGCCATTAACACCCATTTTATCATTACTGTATTTTCCCGAGGAGCCTAAGTCCCCTTCCTGAAAGCTCATTATACATATAAATCTCCAATAAATAAATATGCAACTAGAAGAAACATCCTTTCCCCACCATCTTATGGAGCAACGGATTGCGAGGTCGCAATTTCGGGGTGAACTAGGACAGAAAACAGCAATCAATCAACCATACACGACCAACTTACGCGCAAGGGATGTGTTTCGATAGCACGTGAAATGCAATTTGCTCTGAAATAATTCCAAACCGACAATCGCATACACAATGATCACGAAAATGACCAAAAGGGCAATGTGTAAAAGCGGAACCATGGCCGTAATGATGGAGTTCAACACAACCTGAAGACCTAAAATGGAAAGAGAGAGAGAGAGAGAGAGAGAGAGAGAAAAGCGAACAGCGATGAGGAATAAAGGAGTATCGAGGTGATAAACGAAATGAAGGATTTCTATCTAGGTATTCTGGACATTCGACTAATTTGTCTGAAGGCTGACAAACAACACTGGGCACTTCATTCTCCAATATGGACGCACTAAACATGCCTCTTATGTGCGTAACTCTCCCGACGCCCCAAATGCGAACATTGGGGTGGGAAACCGAGACTTTTAAAACCGAGCAACTCATTCGACAACCAACACGGAAGTGAATGACCATAAGTATTAAAAGGGTTTCGATCAAGTTCCGAGAGAAATCACAGGTAACGAAATCTATTGATCCTAATGGGAGTTCATTCAATCCCAACACTTTGATTGAAGTTCTCAAAGAGTATCGAGTGGGGATAAATGAACCCTCAAGAAGTGAGACATACACAAGAATGACAATACACAGACCTCGAGTCTGTGATTTATAGGGAATGAACCAAAACATCTTCAAGCAGTTAATTATCCTAATTGAGAGTTTTCGTCGAGGATTAAGATGAAACCGCGGGTTCGACCGGTAATCAGTTCACCAGTAGCTGGAGAGGAAGTTACTGATTGTGATAGCCAGCAACTCTCTATTCTTTCCCTCGATCTCTTACATTTCTTTTAGTTTCCAGCGTACTTGTACAGCACTCATTGCTGTCTCTGAAGTCACGGTGGGGCATTCGAATTTTCGGCCGTGCTACATTTGTGCTCCAGTGGGTAATTTATCAACGTTTACGTCGCACATTGGGTTTAATTGTTTGAATCAAGTTTCTTTCATGATTGCCTACGCCAAGGACTCCTTAAAGAATTTGAAACATTGTGTTATCGCACAGGAGTGGCGTTCTTCATCAGTTCAGTCGTCAAGTTAAAAAATATACAAAAAAATGCAGATCGTCTAGGTCAGCTTTCCTCAGAAAACACCGAGCAGGCTGAAAAGTGGCTTCACGTAACACCAAACCTCATAAAATGTCTATCTCTGCCATTTACTCATCAGACGTACAATCACTATTTGGAAAAATGAGCGAATTCACGAAATTTATAAGGATGAAAAAACCATGCACTGGGGAGAATCATGCGGCAAGAAACATGGTTGCATCTTGACATCAACGACTCTTTGGTTGAGCCGGATTTCTTTGACCTTCGTCGGTTGGATAGAAACTGTTCACTACGAAATCGAGGCGGGAGTTCAATGAAATTCACCAAATCGTCTTGGTGTAAGTCTACAAAGATTATATTCACCTACAACGTAAGATATATCATGTATTTCGGTTGAATGTAAACCCTGTTTTCTTAGTAAATATTGTTCCATCGTGGCATCAAGCACTTACATGGCACCCTCCAGTACAACTTCTGACGTACAGATTTTTGCGGATGTATTTATATCTGAGCTTTCTAGCTACATGGAACGCTCTCTTTCTTTAGCGGTGATTTTAACTAAGCAGATGTTCATCTCTTGATTTGGCTCTCTCTTCACAATTTCCCCACAAGAGGAAACGCGCAGTTTGACCTAATGTTGTCAAACGATCCTGACCTGTTTGCTATGCAAAGAGTAGCCCCTTGGGCAAACTCCGATGATTGTATCATAAATGTTTTGCCAAAAGTCTACTCATAGTACACTGCTGAAAAATTATTGAAAATCGATTCTCGTAGCAGGGTGAACTAAATTACATTTCACCTGTTTGCCGAGCTCGGCAATCTGTTTGCAAACGTTTCATCACCAGCCGAGGTGGCATCATTAGTGCTTCACAAGCACTGATGAATAGGCGAACAAGCAAAATGGAATTATAGTACACTAACACGTACATCTAGCTGGAAGAATTTTCATAGGCTGTACGACCCGGCTCACTTGGCATCACTGAGAGAAATGATCTCTCGTAGTAATTTTGAATAGTTCTTTGACCCAAGTGTCTCGGTCGAGTGCGAACACCTCACTAGCAATTTTAACTTATGCTGTGACCTCTCCTGCCCCAAGGCTCCTATGTACATCAGTCCCGCAAGATTTCCTTCCCCCACTTTGAAGACCCTTAGAGGAATCAAAGAACGGGTATAATCGGGTACAATTGTGACCGAGCTTTAGTTAAATAAACGTCAGTCCTGATCAAGACTGAGATCCAAAATCTTGCCAAACTCTACACTGAAACTCTTCTTGGTGATCGGAATTGCAAACAAATCTGGAGCGCTATGAAAAAACTCTGTGTAACAAACGTCGGACTACGCGGGCCTCAACCCACAGCAGAACTCAACGACATATTTTCCAAGTCAACTCAAACTGAAGTATCATATCCATATATCCAATCAGTTAACCATCATGAAGTTTCGCATGTCAATTCTGATCGGGTGCGGGAACAGTTGATGTACCTCGAAACATCAAAAGCTTCCGGTCCCGACAGACTATGTCTAGTCGTCCTCAAGGAATGTGCGTATTATCTGGCAGAGCCTCTTGCCGGTATTTTCGATCGTTGCTTTTAGTAACAAAAAATTGTCGGCTGTTGGAGACCTCTGCGCATCACACCAGTCCCAAACAAGAAGCGGGGAAATTGCGACCAATCGCCTGCACTTGTTTTACTAACATTTTTGAAAAATTAATGCTTAGTAACATTATTCCTAAAACTGGGCAGCTAGATAACAATCAATTCGCTTATCGCAAACAACGTTCTACTTTACACGCCTTTGCGCATGTGGTAAACTCAGTTTTGCGATCCCTAAACATGCACGGCGCAGCATTTCGTGTGTTTACTCGACTATAGTAATGCTTTTAACTGTATTGACAGGAGCAGGCTTTTGTCTCTTCTCCAAGCTGGTGGATTGTCCCATACTATCCTCTTTCTACTCCAAGACTATTTTGCTGGTATAACACACTTCACGAAGTTTCTTGGAAAGACCTCTGACTCCCTACCGGTCAATTCAGGGGTGCTCCAAGGATCAAGTCTGTCCCCTTTTCTTTTCTCTTTCTATATTCGAGACCTACCCACTGGCCCAGATTATCTTATTATTATGTATGCTGATGATGTCACCACAGGTTTCAAATTCCAACGTGATTTCCGCTTGTTACAGCTTCAAACCAGTTTATCTGCCAAAAGCTTAAGGTCTTCGTCTTTCAAGTTATTCCTCAATGCCTCCAAATGTAGGGATGTTACCTTCTCGCTAGTCAAAGGAGAACAGCTACATTCTTTTGAAAGGAACTGTTCTGTACTCTATGTCGACAATCAGCATGTTCCCCCAGGACCATCTCGGCAATACCTCGGTGTCACTATCTCACAAGATCTCACTTGGACTTCACATTTAAACTTTACTTCGAAAAAGATTCAACGATTATGCTTCTTTATTTTCCGTTTGGTTTCATTAAAAGTTCTGCTGTATTTACTAACCCGATTTGTATATTCTTATGTTGTTACTCATCCTCACTGTTGCTCCACAGTTTTATTTGCCGGTCGTAGAGTTAAAGATTGCACAATTCTACGCCGGTCCATTAAAATTATTTCTCACACAAGCGGTATTCCCTATTTGCACTTATTTAACTTTATGGCCGACAAACATTTTACCTCCTGCGGAAACTTCTGCAGCAATATTCTATCATACATAACACACCCATTACACACAGAATTTAAACAATGCGAATCCACTTCTGTAACTAGATGTTATAAACTGGTGTATGCTCGTACCACTGCCTACCGTTTTCCCGTTATCCCATATCTTTCGAGATTTCTGGCTCCGTTAGAGAGAACGTTTTGAACTTCCTACACAATTGCTATCCATTTTCAAACTTTTACGCCACAGACCTTTGAATTTTTCACTTTTTCTTTGTGACTGCATGCGATTATAAATGATCCTGGTGTACAAGAAGCTGAGAAACCATCCATTAGGATGAACAAAGCGAAAACTATGATAACAGTTCCTCGGACTCACGCTTTTGGGAGCACGAATGTTTCATGGGGAGGTGATGGTGATGGTGATGGACAGGACGAGGACGAGAACGAGCAGGCACGGGCAGATGCAATGACCGGCAGCACTTAACAACCTATGCCACAGCTGCCACGCCTCTCTTAGTGCCTTGATTTACGATAGGTTTGATTTAAATATGGAAAGTGCCCAATTTTTTCAAGTGGCACAGTAGTGACAATACACNCAATACACTGAGAAATCCGCATAGTTCTGGTGATTTGATTGATTTGGACAGTATCATCTGAAGATTGATTCCAAATGTTTTAAACATACCCCGTTTACCACGAAAAAGAAAACATCACAAACCAAAGTACAGTAATCACTCACTCGGAAGACCTGAGAGTAACCGTAGGGGTCGTAACACTCTAAATGCTCGGAGGGCTTTGACATCAACATTCATGTTTTCCAGTGCCTTCGAAGACAAACTGTAGAAAATTACGGGAAAAGATAACGGAATTCAAAATTTCCATAACGGAAAAGTAGAGGATCACAACGAAGATTTATATCAATCGAATTAAATTCAAAAAGTGAGAAACTAACTGTCAAATTATTTGGAACGATTTCGTTCTTTGTTGTGATATCACAAGGAATTCGATGCGCATGACGACGCGACTAGTTTTCATTCAATAGCTTTTAAGCCTTTATATGAGGTTTTCAGTAACCGTGCATGCGTGAATGGGGAGGTGTTAGGCTTATGGGCTCAAATTCAACACATATTAGCTGACAATAGCATCTTATTGAAACCGCTTCCCTCATTACTGTGCAAGCAGAAGGGATGAGAATCAGGTACACACTTATACCGATCTATCAAGTACTTCAGGTACCCACGTCCATGACTATTCATAAAGAGTGTGTCAGAACGGAGAGGTAACTGGTGGACTGATTTGCTATCGCTCCACAAAATTAATCAACTCTTGTTACTCTCACATGGCTTTCAATCATATTATGTATCCATCGGTGACAGGCAATAAAGTCACTCAATTAAGAAGCTTAAGGACTCACAGTTAGAATGGTGCCGACCCCAAAGCCAAAACGACTTTTCTTAGATAAATTACTCGTAAGGCATTACCCAGAGAAAATCCGGAGGTAAGTTGGTAATCGTAAGGTGTTCACTTACAGATTTAGCGTTAGTGCAAGTAAGGTCGGAGAAGAACAATCGAGAATGTCAAACAGAGGTACACTAAACACAAATGAAACGAACACCTCATCAGTTTTGGTCATGATACAAACCTATTTGATGAGTATACAAACCAGTCCTAATACCATTAACCCCCTGAGATTTGCAATCAACTGCAGTACTACCATTGCAGGAGGACAATGTGAAAAGGAATTCTATCAAACAAGACACCAGTGAATAAATTAAAATAATTCGGAATAGTAATTAAACAACCCAATTAAACTAGAGCCGTAAAGGAGGGACGTTTTCCTGGACCCCGAAAGAAAAAAGTCAGCAGTCCACATCTGACATTGGATAGGTTGATCATTTGTATTCGCGAATTTTGTGCGGAAAGAATTTTTGTGAAAACCTTAAAACAGAATGGTCTGGTTTGTTTGTAGCATTGGAAGAACTAGTTTCCCCTATTCACCCTAGTTTCATACTTGTAGCCACCCAAACCTATTCAGTTCGGGAACAAAGTTTCAGGCCTATTTTGTTTGACTTCAATCAGGGTACACTAACCAAAACCAGCACTGAATATACGATCAGATAGGATGAGGCTTTCGATTGGAGTGAATATGTTATATGTTTTTCTTCATAGCTGTTGCGTGAACAAGCGACTGGCTATCTGTCTATGAAGAGGACATCCGAACGAATTCGCCTTAGCGACTTGGGTCAACCCCGGTGTAAACTGATTGGCACAGTGGTAACGCACACACCTTTCAAGTAAGGTGTCCAAAGTTCAAATCAGGAATGGGAAGGTGGAGATACACTGTTGATGAGCTCTAACAAGTGCAACAGTTCACGTCTAGTAATGCCGGAGTATGTGGTTGCCTGGATGAACTAAGGTTCGTGCGTAAAGTTGAAGTCTGTAAATGGATCAGTCTGTCAAAATAAGCAGTGATACTGGTGAAGAAATGAAAAAGATAGAGCAAAATCGATCACCAGAGTGCAGCACAAATAACAAGATAAGATGAGGTAGGACCAATGCGGTCGGGCATCGAAATTACCCGATAAGAACAATGGAGAAATCGAGTACGTTCCAAAATGTTCTCAAATACGCTCCAGGATGTAACACAAAACCGTAGGCGATGATCTTCAAGGCGGATTCCGTGGTAAATATGATGACGAAGGCCAATTCAACTTTTTCCTGTAGAAATAGAAACAGCACAAGCGAACGTTCCAGTCTGTGATTTATTCTTATGATATAATTAGGTAATCGAATAACTCCATAAACCCAACTGAAAGATAGGTATACACAAAAACAAAAGCTTTCCCTCGAGGTCAACACTTAGCTGAAACCTAAGTAACCTTGAGATATCATCAGCGCCGATTCGTGAAATGAATCTTGCCCAAAAGTGCGGTTGAAACAAATTGATAAGGTTGCAGTGGATGGTTATAACTGTAAACTATAGATGGTAAATGTTTGGATTAGCCCATTCGATTTTTTACAGGCCCTAGGCACTGTTGATGATGTTCAATGCGGGTTTCATTCCTTGAGAGATCATTAATTTCCCACTGTTTGTTTGTATTTTAGTGCGATGGTTGTTGTTGTTAATGTTGTTGTTGTTGTTGTTGTTGTGGTTGTTGTTGTGGTGGTGGTGGTGGTTGTTGTTGTTGTTTGTTGTTGTGGTTGTTGTTGTTGTTGTGGTTGTGGTTGTTGTTGTGGTTGTGGTTGTTGTTGTTGTTGATGTTGTTGTTGTTGTTGTTGTTGGTTATCACAAACATTTCCATCGCACTAAAATAACTGCAAACTGTTTGGAATGAATAGATTACAGTAGTTGATTTTACCAGAGAAAGGAAGTAGGTAATCCATGAGGTGACTGAGTAGGTAAAATTGCTGGAAAATATCCTGAGATAGATAAAATTATCTGACTTTGGAGTGCAGAATCAAACAATTCTTCCTGTGACCAATTTTTATAACAATTACAAAAGTTGAACACAAAAAGTTATTGGCGAGAGCCTAATAAATCGGTTTATCGAAAATTCATTGCAAATCACTTCTATTCGTTTTAAATTACACAACGATGCACAGACGTCAGATGCTGTTTATTTTGTTGTTGCATGGAACAGAACAACAATTTGTTAAATTCATGCGGCCATAGGCTAAACAAGTTGCACGTTACACAGGAGTAATACTTTCGGCTCACAATCCAACAGTTCGCAGTTCCAGAGTTCACAGGGACAAACATAATACACAATAGCGATGAGTTCCAGGAAGGAAAAACACTTGTCCGATGTCTATCAGATACGTTCTACCAGAGATAAAACTTATAAGCTTGCGTTTTACCATTGTGTGAATGACATGTGAAACATCACCATATTTCAGTCCAGAAGGTACCAGGAGAGTGAATCGACGTGACATGTGTTCTTCTGTTTCATTGACTGGTTAACCGGTTAAATTTTCTATTTGTTCAATTTTTCGTTCACGACTCCTCATACCGTTTCACTGTTTTTATGGATTTTCCCATCATTAACTAAAACGCCAAATGTGTCGGGTCTAACGAAACAGAGNNNAGTAACGGACAATATGGTTTGTTTCCCATGAGCGCAATCGAATGAGAGTCAGACAATGACCGCGCAACATGAATTTGGGGTAATAAAACCAAGTGAGCAAAGACTAATGTTGATGTACTTTCATCGATCTAACTGACCACATTGCACCGATTGTATTCCACTACTTTTAGCCAACACAAGGGTTGAATTGATATGCCTCGTTTGGGTATTCGAACTGCATCTTGATGCATTGCGTCTGATGTGAATTGATCAAACAAGTTCATGGGACTACAATGCTGTTTTTCACGTATCCATTCGATACACGAAAAGCTCATTTTTGCTAACATTGAAGAAATAAAATATTATTACTTCATTCTTATAGTATGTACTGTCACACAAAAAGTCTTACACAACCGAGACAAACATGTTCGTACTCGGTCGGAAACTGCCACATGGACTTACCAAAACCATATTGACTGTGTTGGAATCCTCTCCGGGATAGGGGTGATTGAAAGCGAGGGCCATGCAATTGCATAAGATCGTTGCCAGAATAAAATAATCAAATGGTCTGAATAAGAGTTTTCAGGTCAAGGAAAAAAGCAAAACTAGAAAAAATCTATTTGAAAACTTTTCAACTCGTATATAATTGTTACTTCCTTTCGTTCAAAATAGTAACACCATGGTCATGTGATCGTTTTTCCATTCATGTTAGCAGTATCGAAACAAAGAGGATTCTGTTGGTCTTGTGATGTGGAGGATTGAATAAATGAACGGAATATCAAAGTATTTGTTATTCTATGTCAATTGACTCAATCGCAACGATTGGTGAGAATGTGCGTGTGATTTTAAAGGCCGACTGACCCTAAATATTGGACGAAAGCGTTATTGTTCTGGAAATGTGACATTCGAAGATACGACGAACGGAACACAGTATAGATGTGGAAGCGCACGAACGTGGAGCAGAAAAGAGAGGAACCCTAGGCCAACCACAACACAATTGGAATTGAATAGACATCTGTGTTTACTTGTTCACTCTTTCCTGTGGAACAACGTATATCGATCACACAAGCAGACACTCGATTCAGACAGTTCGTGAGCATCATCCGGCACGGTCGCATACTGGGGTGAAGAAGTCAACTACGAGCGCAGTGTTCACGTCTTGTCCGATCGGGTCAGGTCATTTAGTTGACTTGACAAGGGCATTTCACCCCCACCCCCCCNGGTGTGTGAACAACAATCTAAGCGGATTAAATATCGCATCCTGGCCACAGTGGAAATGGTGGGAATTCGCATTCACAATCCAGCCTTGTCTGCGCAAAACAATCTGTCAATACATCGTGTCTCCCATGGTCCTCCACCCACCCCTCCTAGCCTTAGGCAAATCCGGGCTAAACATCACACCGGAAACAGTAGACACTACCTATATTCTTTGAAGTTTATCAATTTAGTATTGTCATTTTTTGTAAGTAATATCTCCGACCTCCCTTATTTTATCGAAGTTCTATGAAGTGTGATGTATTGGCCAAAGACGACGAATTACTGAAAACAGGTCTTGCTCGCTACATTGTGTCCCATTCAAAACAAAAGCAACTTGTTTATCATGAAACCCGTGATTTGCGACTGGTTCACATGAATATGGAGAGGAATAGAAGCTTTGGATCAAACCGTCGTTCGGACCAATCCAAACAACGCAGTTCGAAAGCGTATAAAACACAAGCCCCGGCACTCCACATGGACAGCGCAGTGTACCAATCAACAGTGCGAGGGCTTGATGCTGAATCAGATTATACCACAGATCGCGCATTTACTTGCCAGTAAATATATTTGTTTTATTACTATTCACACATTTTCAAGTAATGCCTTCGATGGGCTTCCAATACAGGCATAGCAATATTTACTGAACCGCATGGCCATTTCATTCTAGAAGCCCAGATTTAGGTGGGGATCAAAGAGAGGAAAATGGCACGTTGGTTTCATGACATGCACTCACGCCCCCCCCCCTCCCGAATTCTTACATAATCCTATTAGATGGCTACCAGAATCTACTCGCGCGCCAGTACTCCCTCGACGATAGCCTGTATCAATGCAAGTATCTACTCAGCATGCAGTCTATAGATGGATGAACGACACTATCGAGAACTAACTCGAATAGCTAAAACAGCGACTCACAGTTTGTGAATTTCTTCGTTCTCTAAGGAAGTGTGGCTGAATGGACAATCCTATGTGGGGTAGAACGACATTTGCTCGCTGCCTGCTAATCACCGTAACAGTGTTGGATATTCATTCTGTGAAAAAGTGAATTGCTCACTAGTGAACACGTAGTTCTACCTGTTCTGTTATTTGTTTCCCGAATCCTCTGGGACTGAAAACGCCGAAAATCACTGGATTACACTCGGCTCACAGTCATTCGTGCAACAATCTTTTTTCTCATTCTCTTATTTTATTCTATTGCACATTCAGTTTTCAGGAATGACCTAAGAGTAAATAATAGTGCTGTCCGGAACTAGCCGGCAATGGTGAAATTCGAACACGCCACGACCATGTCGATGCTATATTGACTTGAAACTGCTGCACCAACACTTCCAAAGGCGAAAAATAGACAAGGACCACGGGCAACCCCCCCCCCCCCACCCGTCTGGCTAGATACACACGGTTTTATGTTTAACAAGAATATTTGTATTTAATTTGCAAATATCTTTGGTTGGAGTTCAATGCACGCTTAACCTTCCGTTTGTCTAAGAACCGGGAAATATTTGATTTGGCAAAAACTGATGTTTTGCTGATGAACTCTTTCAAACGTTGAATAATTTTAAGGCCAGAATGCACATCACTACTTTCTTTACAGAGCTTGTGGCTCGCAGCCTGAAGCCTTCCAATAAACCTCTTCATCGTCCCCCACTCCCTTACCCCAAACAATTCCAACAGAGCATAGCGGGGCGACCAGTCTATTTGGAAGAAACCTGTCTCGTTTGTGGTCTTCACACCTCAGGTAGTAATATGAATTCTCTATCGGTCACCGTACAAAGCGTATAATCATGCATTGTTGTTTGTCATATCAATATTTAACCATAGTTAAACACCACCAGTTTAACTTGGACGTTGAAACGAAGAATTGTGTAACGTCACAGAGGAACTGGACCTCAAATTTTGACAATCGGAAATGGAAATCATGAAAGTTGTGTGATCATGATTCGGTAAGTTTTGCAGCTTGTTCACCTTTTTTATTTGGCGCCCACTCTAGCGGTTTGTTCTAAGAACCTTATGAATACCCAAGATGATTGGGCAATTTTACTAGGATAAGCAGCGGTTGAGGATATGCAGTGTCCTTTGCCAAATAAAACATCCAAAACCACTAATATTTCGGAGGAGGTCTGTGATAAGTAATTTAGCTTACTCTAACTAGTTGTGATTACGGTCGTGCTTCGCTTGCCACCCCGTATACCAGTACGAAAACTTCGCAAAGCTCTGAGCAGCTGGAATGGGCGGTCGCACGTACTAGGTTTGCGAACAGCCTAAAGACCATTGTCCCATATGGCTATACTATCCACCCGACCGATCAATAGATCTGCTTCAGCCACAAATAACATGGATTGATCGACCAACTACTGATCGATCAGTTTAGTTTGGTCGACTGATTGTTTCGCGTGTGCATACACACACATGCACACGTGGGGAGTGTCCTTGTCCGCATGCATATCCCTATTCTATCCATTTGGCATGCTTGGCCGGGCGAGGATGCACCCCAAACCTACTTGCAGACAAACAACGGTGCTCCTGCTGCAGTGCAGATGTATAAGCCTCAAGCACCGAACAACGTACCCTACCCAGGTGTGCGTGCACTGCGCGCGGACGCATGTGCGTCCGCACGCACACATTCAGTGTATACACCGGAGCATATGCATCGGCCCGGTAGACAGATGCACGTGCTTTCCCAAGCAGATCACTGTATCACCTGGCCGTCCTGCTTCCGACCTGCATTTTGAGGGAACAAAACAAGCGTCAGTTGTGCTTGCATGAGAAGTGCAACACTGCTTTTTTTGAACGGCCACCGCAGTCCACCGAAGTATCCGTACTATAGCGTTGTGGCGTCCATCGTATGGTATGTGGGCGTGTGTGTGTGTGTGTGTGACGGTTGTGACAGTTCGCCCCACCACAAATTTGCCCACATTTATCCTTTTCTGATCCGTGAATGGAAGCGTCACCGTCACCACTAAACAGGGACAGCGGCATGCATGCGTGTCAGGCAAGCAGCTAATCGGGTAGACAGGGCGATCGATCCACATGTCACTACTGGAAAACTGCAGAAACGCACAGAGGCGACCCCGAAAACGGGTTGAAAAACGCAATGAGAAAAGTGGGAGGGCTTGGATGACCTTATCGGTCGAATGTAAGTGAGTGAGGCTCACCCAGCGTGTGATAGATACACCACAGAGTTCAGTTTGAAAAAAAAACAGGTAAAAATTAGAATCCCACAAACGTATGAGTGCACGACTTTCCCCCGCTTTGAGCTTGGTCCTAAAGCACATTCGAGGAAAATGAGCAAATGTCGTCACTTGCCATACAACAATGACTAATACGTCGAACCACCAACGGGATAGAAAACAGATGCATATCGACACGGATTAGTTTCGGTTACCGTCGCCCGCGTTCAACCAAATATGTAATAATTCGATTTCCCCAAGTCGCATGGAATTTCTGTTTAGCATGACTAATTGAAAAACAGCATCAGACGAATGCAACTGGTGAAGACCATGTCATAATTAACACCTTGAAAACACACCCCTACAAGGATTGGTGGTTTAGAGAGACAGATGAGAATATTCTATGTGGGACATGGTGGGAGGAGATTGACTGAAATGTATGAATGATGGAGAACCCAAACGGGCGGATCAATTTATTTCAGGGTGTTGTAGCAACTGTGATCAAGATAAATTGGGATGAGAAACCAGTTACATGCATGTCACGAATAACGTCTTGTCTTTTCCATTCAAACATTCGGTTCCCACAAGTTGGCTCCGTCCGACTGCTGAAGGTAGCGGATCTCTGAGAGACAGATCCCCCACTGCGTGGACAACGGCCCATGATTGTGCAAAGACTACAGGCTCCATTTCAAATGAAGATCGAGGGACTCAAGGGGCAGTCAGCTTTTAGAGGACAATTTTGAAGTTTCGACAGTTAGTTCCTACGACCAATAGTATCTTTGTCATGGGAAGAAGGTTGTGACCCGGTGGTAATGGTCACTAAATTATCACCCCCGGTAGGATGTGTGTTCTAATCCCACCACCACCGCCAACACCTAACTTTCCTTATTATGTGTTGTATGCTAGCCCTNAGAGGTAAAATGAAAAACAGTTGGGACGTTTAGAGTAAGGCCAACGGCTGCATCACGTTAGAACAATTTAAAGAGAACTATTCAAATCCTGACAGCTGCTACTTCAGAACCACTGTGTAAATCCCTCACTCAGTTTAAGGGTGATCTATTGAATCAATCCTGTTTATTTGTGATCATCTTTATCCTGCAATACCGTAGATTTGATGATTCAGGGATTTTTCTGACAAACATAGCCT